GTCGTCGTCGTCGTCGTCGTGTCGTAGTGTAGTGTGTGTGTGTGTGTGTGTGTGTGTGTGTGTGTGTGTGTGTGTGTGTGTGTGTGTGTGTGTGTGTGTGTGTGTGTGTGTGTGTGTGTGTGTGTGTGTGTGTGTGTGTGTGTGTGTGTGTGTGTGTGTGTGTGTGTGTGTGTGTGTTAGTCCCCCTAACTGCGTGTGACAAAGGTTTCATAGTGCGACATAAAATGGCCAACTGTGCTATAGTAAGACTTGCTATGCACATAATGCTTAAGTTGCTAAAGCTAAAGCCAGGCTGTATGCTGCTACTGTACAATGTGCTACAAAGCCATGGATAGACTGTTTGGTGCGGCCAAACCTCTGCTATCAAAGGCTCTATTGCTGCTGTTTACTGCTATTGGATGGCAGGTCTGGGTTAGACACAGTGTCTCCTTTCTTTCTATGTTTTGCTCTTTATGCCATACACTTTGCTCTAGATTTGTATGGCCTGTTGAAGAATATTTCCGGTATCCTAACCCCTCTGGCCCACTATTAGCACCAGCCTCAGGAAAACCTATATGTGTACCCTAATTCTGAGAAAGAGTAGGAGAAGAGCTGAAACGTTTACTTTAATTAAATGTATTATGTCAACAGCTTTCACATTACTGTATTAGGTTAGTTGAAAACAATAATATTAAGTTTAAATAACAAATACGAGGTTCAACTTAATATTATTGCTTTCAACTAACCTAATACAGTTATTTGAAATCTGTTGACATAAAGCATTTCGTTAGAGTCCACGTTTCAGTTGTTTCAGTGTAGTTATTACCCCCTGAGGTAGTAGGGCTTTAGACCTATCTATTCTCTGATCTATTTTTTGTTAAAATAATGTTTTGAACCTAGGAGGACAGGATCCTCTGAAGATTAAGATCCCGAGTCATAGTTAATCAGAGAGAGGGTTCATCTCATTCCCTTTCCATGTGTTCAGAAAGTTAGTTATTTATACTTGCTACATTATAGGCAAAGCAAAGTATGAACTTTGCAATGCTTTCTGGCCTTGATGAAGGGTAACCTCGATGCAGCTGCCAAGTGTAGTGAACTGGATCAAAGTCATTACGAACAGTCTTAATCAGGTTGTTACCAAGTGCTGTTCTAACCCAGAACTTGCTGATGAACAGCTTAATTAGCTCTGAATTGAAGGGACATCTTGACATTTCGATTTTATTTATTTTTTTCTTCACTGGGTAATCCTGAAGAGAAGAGATTTGCTTAAAAAGAAAAAAGGTAATTAGCATTTTTTTTATTTGTAACAAAACAGATGGTTGGAGTTGCTTTGACTTACTGTAACACTAAAGCAAACTATGGTGTTAAACGTCAGATGTCAGGATGTCTCCTCAAAGCTTAAGTCTGGAGTATGAAACATATGTGGACGGATAGGGTGGCAAGACATCTTTGATTACAAAAATAACACAATTTAAAGTAGTACATGGTATATGCACAGTTTTGATTAAGAATGCGTCAAGAAAATAAGAACAGCATTTCAGGCTTCTTCTGTCTGCTAACAACGTTTTTCCCAGGCTGATGGGGGTGGAAGAAGTACTCAGATCTTGTACTTATTAAGTCAAAGTAGAAGTACCAGAGTGTAGGAAGTGTTACAAGTAAAAGTTCTGCAATAAAAATGTTACTCAGGTAAAAGGTATTGGCATCAAAATATAGTTAAAGTAGCTAAAGTAAAAGTAGTCATTGTGCAGATTGGTCCATTTCAGAATAATATATATGATGTGTTTTATAATGATTGATAATTAAATGTTGAGGAGTAAAAGTACACTATTTAACTCTGGATTGTAGTAAAGTAAAAGTAGCAACAATTGAAGTACAAGTACCTTAAAATTGTACTTAAGTACAGTACTTGAGTACATTACTTACTTACTTTACACCACTCATTAGAAAATAAAGCATCTGATTCCAGGACTTGCCTTCATTTGAAATGATGAGAACAGCTGGAAAAGTGAGGCTTTCATTCAAACACTTGTATTCTTAACAATAACAGCTTGAACAAGCCAAAGTGTTGTCTTTCCTTATCTTTGTTTTGAAAGATGTCTGCACCTTAGTCATGCTATCAGATGTCATATTCCAGTTGATGCTTTTACACTTTTGCTTTAACAATACAATAGTTATTATTCCCACCTGCTTCTCCTCCTTATTTTTCTCTAGCTTTTTCTTTTTCTTCTCCTCCCTTCTCCTCTTTCCTTCTCCTACATGCCTCAGTGGGTTTCTCAGTCTCTCCTCCTAAGCTCCTCTCTGAGCTTTTTTGCTAATCAGCTGCTTCTTTTTTTTCTGTGTGTTTACGTTTGCATCTGTCCGCTTATGTGTTTACCTGTTTTTCCATCTGTGGTCGGTGTTTTGTTCATTTTGTTGGTTTGTTTTGGTTGTGTGCTTGTTTGTTTGCTGGCAGCTCGGAGTCCACGGACAGCCGCCTGCCGATCATCCGACGAGGCGACGGGTCGACGGAGGAGACGTACGATGAGAGCTACGGAGACAACAGGAAGTACCTAGAGGACGACCACTCGCTCTCCTCTGACATGTACAGACCAAGCCATTTTCACCTCTACATTTCATGAGTTTCAGGGTGGGTCTGTCTCTAACTACTCTCTGTGTCTCTGTGTGCTCAGGCTGGTATATCAGGATGAAACATGTAAGCAGTTGACTCCAATGGAGGAAGGAGAGGAGGGAGAAGACAGAAGAGGAGGAGGAGGGTGGCAGTCTCCCAGGAGAGTCTTCCTCTGCCCCACTTCTCTAGGTGAGTACACATTATCCCTAAAAAAAATGTATCAGAAGTATTGGTACAACTAGTCTATTCTTGTTCATACAATGTACAAATGTTTACATTCTGAGTGTTTGCACATTTGTGGTGTGTGTCAGGGCGGAGATCGTCTTTCCATCTGGAGTGTCTGAGGAGACATTCAAGGCCGGACGTCTCCCAGAAGACTTCTGTACCCTTACACCTTGTACATCATCAGGTAGAAACAGTTGGCCAATGATACTCTCACAAATAAACAAATTGTAAATGTGAACTAGGTCCTGCAGACTCCTCTCCTCTGACCCGTCCCTCTGCTCTGTCCTCCTCCAGGCTCTGGCAGTGGCAGGACTGAGCCCTCTGCTCAGAAGGAGTCACTCCCCCACCCTCTTCAGTCGGCTGTGCTCCACTCCTCCAGCCAGTCCCACAGGTACACTCAATCCTGTGCTCACACTAAAAGCAAAACAGCTGTTTTTCAAACAGAAATGTGGCTTTGCATATCATGAGCCAGCACACTTACCCTTTTTTTTAATGATGAAAATATGCATTGTTTTTGATGAGATTGGTTTGTTCTCCTGATGGTTGCTGCTCTGTCGTTGTCTCTAGCCATTGGCAGTGACCCCTCCTACCGACGAGTGCCTTCTCTGAGGCTGGAGGGCACGAGCTCCCATGAGAAGCTCAACACCAGCCTGCCCTCTGTCAACTGTGGACCCTGGTAGGATTATGCACCTGGAAAATAACTGTTACAAATAACACTGTCATTTCCCAAGAGGCAATCAGGAGGATTCTTATGATACTCTAATAAACAGATTTATTTCTCTTAGGTACAACGACAGTAATGGGAACAGCCGAGGGCCAAGTCCTAGCCCCAACCCCAGTGTTTCCAATCAGAGACCACCGCGGCCAGTGTCGCTCACAGTGCCCTCGCTACTGGGAAGAGACTCCAGCTCCCTGTGTCACGGCAGCGCAGGCAGTCTGGTGGAGGCGGTGAGTGTGTGTGATTTGGACTGCTCCAGAGGGCTAAATTACACAGATTTATTTATTGAATTATAACTCTTTGGAACTCAGAAACGCTGTCAAAAAAGAAAATCATAGAGGTTTAGATTTCTCTTTAGGTTTCTCTATCTCCCTCTGCCCCCCAGGTGCTAATATCAGAGGGTTTGGGTCAGTTCGCCCAGGACCCGTCTTTCATCGAGGTGACTAAAGCCGAGCTGGCGGACGCATGCGACATGACCATCGAAGAGATGGAGCAGGCGGCCAACAACATTCTCAACGGTAACACCGCGGCCAACGTCACATCCAGCACCTCCTCCACCTCCCAGCACAGCCCCAGTGGCAACCTCCTCCCCTTCCACACAGCAGCAGCACCGCACAGGGACCGAGCGCTCAGCGAGGCCGGGGGGGAGGCCGGGGGGAGCAGAGGCTCCATCCATGGGCCGTCCTCAGAGGAGGAGAGGCAGGAGCTGCTAGCAGGTGTGAGGGGACAACAAGAGGAGGAGGAAGAGGCAGGAGGGACGGAGGAGGGGCAGCACAGAAGCTCGGTTGTGATTGGAGGAGCGCGGCAGAGGAACAGCGGGCTGTTGGAAGACGAGGATATGGAGTGTGTGACGAGTTTGTAGGAATAGTGAACGGTTCGATTGGCCAACTGGCCCCTCTGACATCATCAGAGACTGAAGCCTGTCAGTGCTGGGTAACAGCGCCGAGGCTGGCTCTGTCTGTCCCCCCCCACACACTCACACACTGTCTGCCTCTCTGCCAGACCAACCGCTCTGGGCAATGGCGGCCAGTGACGCAACCTTAAACACCGGGTTATGACTCTGTTAGTCTGTATGTGTGTGAATGTTTGTAGTCAAGTATACCACACTATACTCTATACTATCTGAGTGTATGCTTGTGTGTGTGTGTGTGTGTGTGTGTGTGTGTGTGTGTGTGTGTGTGTGTGCGTGCGTGTGTGTGTGTGTGCGTACGTGCGTGCGTGCGTGCGTGCGTGTGTGTGAGATCTATGATTTTCTCTATTTGTACGTAAGTGTGTGTGTTCTCCACACGTGTCTGAGTGTGTCTCTAAAGTGCCTCACAGTTTTATCATGTCCTCAAAGTGTGAAAAGCAGATGAGTAAAGAAAAGCAGAAAAGGTCAGGGGAAAGTAGGGATGGGGAAAGGTAGAAAGGAAACAACAGAAGCAGGACGTACTTGTATTGACTTCCTGCAGTCAACATGTGGTAATTGTTTTCATTTCCTCTGCCTACTTTGGTGTTGTGTTATTGTTGTTTGTCTGGCCGCCATGAAGCCAGGTAGGGGACAGCAGACCAGCCTGTGAGGGGGTCAGTTAAGAATTTAAATCGCACCCACCACTCGTGGTCAAAGGTCAACTCCTCCTTCTCGGTTCACTGATGATGAAGCGCTGTATTGAGTAAACAGGGGCGAGGAAAACCCTGTTTGAAATCTCATTTCTCTTCCTCTTCCAAAGCTAAGGAACCGTGGAGCACAGCCCTGCCAGCCTGGGGGGGGGGGGGGGGGGG